AAGCCTGTGTTTAGCTACATGAAGATTTTCCAGGCTTGTTTCTGAGTTAATTGGGCAACAGGCTAATGTCTGTGTTCAGCTGATCTGTTTGGTATCTTTGCCCTTTTCATGTTTTGAACTCTGCTGGCTGTCAGTATTCTACGTAATGGTAAACAGGAATCACACACAGAATCACACACAGAATCGCTCGGTTGGAAAAGCCCTCTGAGATCATCACGTCCAACCGTTCCTGTCTACCCACTAAACCATATCCTTAAGTACCTCATCTACCTGCTCTTTAAATACATCCAGGGATGGTGACTCCACCACCTCCCTGGGCAGCCTGTTCCAGCCTCTGACGACCCTCTCAGTAAAGAACTTCCTCCTTATCTCTAACCTGAACCTCCCTTGGCACAGCTTGGTGCCGTTTCCCCTTGTTCTATCCCCCATCACCTGGGAGAAGAGACCAGCACCCACCTCTCTCCAAGCTCCCTTGAGGCAGTTGTAGGTGGTGATGAGGTCTCCCCTCAGCCTTCTCTTCTCCAGGCTAAACAAGCCCAGTTCCCTCAGCCGCTCCTCATCAGGCTTGTTCTCCAGAGCCCTCCCCATCCTTGTGGCTCTTCTCTGAACACGCTCCAGAATCTCAACATCCTTCTTATAGTGAGGGGCCCAGAACTGAACACAGCACTCGAGGTGCGGCCTCACCAGTGCCGAGTACAGGGGGATGATCACCTCCCTGGCCCTGCTGGTCACACTGTTTTTAATACAGGCCAAGATGCCGTTGGCTTTTCTGGCCACATGGGCACAGTGCTGGCTCGTGTTATATATCCTAATCCAAACTAGACTTTGGTGCACGTTGGGATACAAGACATTACATATATTAAACTTAAAATGATATAATATTAAATTTGGAGATGTATATTAAAGTACAAAAACTTCCCAGTCATATTTGAGTATTTGGTTTTCTTCTGTATTTTGACTGCTTTTAGTTGAGCATTACATTCATCCTGACTTGAAGTTTCTCTGGAATTCTTTACACTTCGTATTCAGAAAGCAATTCCTTCCCTGAATCGGTGCCTTACGGAAAGTGCAGAAGGAGTTTGGTTTTGCTGTATGTAGGAGCAGGGCTCTTTGTTTTTAGTTGCTTCCTCCTGTAAACAGTTCCTGCAGAAGCAGTCTTTATACTGCACAACCCATCTCCCCACTCTTGCTTGTTACTCATTTCCTAGTACTTGGAAACACTGCCAAATAGTGGTCTGAGAAACTTTCAGTCTTCATAGTGGTTCAGGGCTGGTGATGGATGGGTCAGGGTAGCAGTGGGGTGTTTGAAGCATAGTCCAGGTAGGCCAGAACTCTTGCAGAATAGCCACAGCTATTAGAAGAGCATCTGTTATAAAGAAGAGTTACAGGTTTCATGACTAAGGGGGAATTGTTGACCAACACTTTCTTGTAACTTACTTTGTTAAGGGCTGAATAGATAGACCAGCAATTAGAAGACTTGAGTAGAAAGACAAAGTGCTTTGTCAGATGCAATGTATGGTGTCTTTTTTAACAGCGTTTTAGAGTCCAGTAGCAGGGAAAGCCTTTTAAACTATAATCTGATCATGCTTTAATAGAATGGTACTGTTTTCCCCTTTTATTTCTTTATTCTTTACTAATTGGGTTTTTTGTCTGGTTTTGGTCTTTCCCCTCCCCACTTCTAAGTTCTGAGAGTTGTGACTGACATCAGTTGGTGAATCTTTGAGCAGGGTAGAGACACATTTAATTATGTCTGACTGTCACTGAATCATGTCCCCCAAACACTTAGCTCATTCTTTTTTAAGTAACCAATTATAATTAAACCATTGACAGCAGGAGTTTGTAATTCGTGTGGAATTAAGATAGGAATGCAATAACTCTTGGGACTAGAAACTTCAGTAGGTGGGGATTTTTAATTTTATTTTCTAACTGTAACTTTTGAAAGTGCCCTGGGTTGTGATCAATGTGACAATGTGTCCACAGTATTTTGCTTTAGGAATCTGCATTGGAATAATTTCTTCTTAAAATTTTTTTAAATACTTACTTAAATAGATTTAATTGTATCGTATTTTTTAATTTATTTTTTTATTGTTGATGTTATAGATGTTTGGTTTTTTTCCTCTATTTAGGCAGTCCAGTGAAAACAAGCTTTGCCTCTGACTGGTTTCAAGCTTGGGGAGTGAAACCATCTCGTACGTACTCTGAGGCTTGAAAAAGCCTCGTTAGACATACCTTCCTTAGTTGAGGCTGGTTTTCTCCATGGGTATGAAAAGGCAGGCAAGGAGACAGCTCTTAGAGAGGGGAGCTTTCTGTTCCTCATGCACGGCAGAGCGTGGAAGTGGCCAAACCAAAGATTGCTGAAGAAGGGTGGACTTAGCCTCAAATGATTGATGTGGTGGACCGGTGCCAGGCTGGCCTCTTGCATGTTGGAGTCCTGACCAAAGCTATCTATTGGCCAAATACTTTGGCACCAGTGCTCATATATAGCCAGAACTATCCTTTGTGCTTCCTCTGGCCAGGAGGTAAATTCCCCGTCATCCGTGACAGCTTTGCTTTGGCAGACAGCTGCAGAGTGCAGGGACCGTGAGAGCGTAAGGCTTCCTGGTGCTCGCCGCTGTCCGTGATACGGTCACTGGCTAAAGTGAGAGAGAGAATTTACATACCAACCCTTGTCACAAACTTGATTTTTTTTAGGATCAACATAGCTGCTGTAATAGCCCAGAATACGGGCTTTTCAGTTATGAAGCTTGGACTTAATGTGTCGATGGGTGGGGATTTTGGTGTTTGTTTTGCTTGGTTTTGTTTTTAATCTTTGGAAGAGAGAGGGTTAGACTCCTTGGTTATAGGCAGTACCTAGGTGACTGCAAAGCTAATATATTCAGAAAAGAGTGAAAGTTTTATTACAGAAAGACTACACACAGAATTTTTGTTTTCACCTTTGTAGGAATAAGCAAGGATTTCTTTTATATGCTGCTATGTGCTACAGTACTCTTATGGATTGTAAAATGATTAGTAAATACAAGTTTCCCAGTACATAATGCCAAGCACATTTTATGATCTTAAACGTGAAGTGAGTGACAAAGCTTTAAGGCGATAAATTTTGCTTCGTAATAACACCATGTATGGTATACCTGTAAAATCTGTTAATAGAAAGGAGTTCATTTCCAAGAGAATACTGTCTCTCAAGATTCTTTTCTTAAGCTATCCTTGCTTTGTTTCACCCTTTGATCCTATGAAGTTTGCCAAATTGAAAGAAAATTCAGTTAAGCACTTGGCTTTGGCTATTCAAAATACTGACCTTTAAATGGGAAGGTGTCAACATTCATCTGAAAACCTTGGCTGTACAGGAGCAGTTCTTTCTGCATGGGTTTGTGAGGAATTATTAAACTTTCATCATCTTGATGCTGATACCATACAGCAGAGCTCCATCTACTAAGCTGTTCTAGATGATCCCATGTTGTTCAATGTCACTATGTCTTAATAGAGTTTTAGTGGATAAACTCAATAGGTTTTTTTTTCTCAGCTGATGATGAACAGATGTAAGATTGTGTGAATGATTGTCTTTGTTTTCTGATTTTCAAAAACGTGTCTGGCTGATTTCATAGTCTTAATACAGTTTTAGTGGATAAACTCATTAGGTTTCTTTCTCAGCTGATGATGAGCAGATGTAAGATTGTGTGAATGATTGTCTTTGTTTTCTGATTTTCAAAAACGTGTCTGGCTGATTTCATACCTTCCACAGCAAATGTTCTCTCTACTAATTCAGATGTGTGGTTTTTGGGTTTGGTTTTTTGTTTTGTTATTATATACTTTTTGGGCATCGTTATTCCAAAGCTTTGTGTGAATACATCTGTGAAGAAAGCGTTGAGAAAGACACAAAGTCCAAAAGTGCAGTGATAAAAGGGTATCATGGTTTAGGGCTGGGCTGGCTGCTAAATCCTGGACAGATGCTCTCTGTTAACCCCTCCTGCCTCCCCAGAAGTGAAAAGAGAATAAGGGAGAGAGACTTTACAGGTTGGAAAATAAAACTAACAGATTTAATGAAACAATAATACTGATACTACAGGATAATAATGTAAATAGGAAGATAATGGAATAGATACAGATAGGTACAAATACACATACAAAACCAATATATAATCCTCCCCCAATGACAATTACATCACCAGAGGCTCTGCACTGGAAAAGTCCCAGACTGGACTCAGCAGCAGTGGGAGCAGGATGCAGGAACCCTCGAATCAGGATCAGAGCCAAATGAACTAGCAGGGTTCTGCTTGGACTTTGGCCATTAAGGAGATCAAGACGGAAGGAAGGATCCAGGATGGAAGGGGTGAGACCCTCGTGATCCCTCAGCTTTATACCGAGTAGAACATATATGGGATGGAATACCTCGTTGGTCAGTTTTGGGTCCGCTCCCCCCGATAGACACGGCATCCATGGTGAGATGGCGACCTTGAGATTATCACACCGCCTGGAAAAACATGCTGCTGGTTTCAGCAAGCTCAGTCACTTAGAAAAGACTGAGCTGAAAAGTAAAATCACTAAGTAGAAAATTAGTTCTATTAAGCTCACAGCAGGCCAAAGGGATAGGGAAGAAACAGCTGAGGATGATGCTGTCTATTGCTAAGAAATTAGGCTTTTTGGCACCCTATACTAAGCCTACCTCTACCCCATAGAGCTACTATTCACAGTCTGGTTCCCTTAGCTTGTATACAGTTTTTCTTGTGCTAGGCAACAGTTCTTGTCCAGTTATGTCTTCCCTATCAACTGGAGAAGGAAGCCTTTAACAATACTGGTAATACACTGGTAAAACTGCTTTAGTGTTTAGTTATGTCTTTGTGACAGAGACTCGGTTTTCTGACAGTGTTTTGGAAAAGGTGCTAGTTTAATTGATGTGGGACTTACTTGGGAAGTGTCTTTTGCGTATTATAAAGAATTTTGCCTTTTGTCAGATTACACGCAGTTGTATAATTTCAGTTTTTCAAATTTGATGTCTTTACAGGCCAGAAGCCAAAATTGGATGAAGCGATCTAGCTAAGTTGCCGTCATGAGCAGAAGCAAGCGTGACAACAATTTCTACAGTGTCGAAATTGGAGACTCTACTTTCACTGTGTTGAAACGGTATCAGAATTTAAAGCCAATAGGATCAGGAGCACAGGGGATAGTATGGTAAGGTGTCTTTAAAATTTATAAATGTGCTTTTAAGTTCCCTTAATAGAACTTTTTGAGTCCTTTAACTGTTGTGTGTTACTGAGCAGGAGTGTGGAGAACTACCTTTTATGTGCACAACAGCAGGAGTAATTACTGTCTGCTATTCCTCAGCAAGGGCTCTAGCTGTTGCTTTTTGACCTGTGTGCTTTCCTGCTTCTGAACTGATGCCCTTCTGTGCAAATTCAGCCAGCTGTGCTGAGCCCTATAAATTAATGGGGGTTGGAAAAAAAAAAAACCTGGATAAAGAAACTAATCCTAATCCTAAACCATGCTGCTTGCAGTGAAACAAAAGCCAGAAATACTCGATATAATATTTACTGCTTGTAAATGCTTCTTGAAATAGGGGGTCTTGATAGGGTTCTGCTTCACTTAATTTCGTAATCTAAGTAGTCCTTAATACTGACTGGTGAGCAGTTGATGCTGACTGTCATTGTAATGTGTAAATACTTGATGCAGTTTAGGAAAAAATGACTTGACAGTATAATTCTTTGAATAGGAGCTCTGCTCTGTGGACTGGAGTGTCTGGTTGGTTGAAGACTGGTGACAACAAGCTGCTTTATAGGCACTATTTCCTGTGCAGTGACATTACTCCAAAGAGAAATGTTGGTTCAAGCTTTTTGTGAGCTCTTTGAATGTTCAAGAGAAGGATGTAGATAGCATAGGAACTTTCAGGTTTTCCAATTACTGTAACTCCCAAGATGCTAACCAGGAACATAAAAATACAAAAGAAACTTCAAGGAAGAGAAAAGTAGGGAAAAACATAATCTCCTCAAACACTTTTCCCTGTAACCTCTCTACTACCTTGATCTTGTCTTGATCAGTGCTTAGAAACTGTGTGGTACTAGGTATGTTTTTTATTTGTATTTGCGTTTTAGCTGGGTTAATAATAAAACTGTGCTTAGTGCAAATGAAAACTTGAAGGCAAATACTCCAGAAAGAGTTGTTTTTGCAATGGTAACTTCTGGCATTAAGATTATTTGGTTTGGAAGTAGCAGCAGCAGCAAAACTGCTCTGAATTTTGTTTGCATGTGTTAATGTAATGAGGAAGTGGACAGTTGTTTGCCTAGAGTTTGTTAGTTGCTACAGAAATGCCTGCAACAGCTTTAGATGTTATTACTGTCCTTAAAACTCCCAGCCATTCGTTACTGCCTGTTTTCCAAGTTTACTGCCCTTCCTTGAGCTGAGATCCAAAAACTGACCATGTAATTACTCTAGTGTCACTCTGTAACTGCTGCTAGTGGTAAATGAAGTCTTTTTAGCTGAACCACTCTGATTACCCTGCGAAGGACTGGAGTGCTCACGTGGTTAAATCTTGCCCATGTCTGGAGGAGGTAGGGCGTGATACTTGTGGTTTGGATTGGGAGTTTTGTTTGGGGTTATTTGTTTTGAGTTTTTGTTTTGGGGGTTTTTTTGTGCGGGTTGTTTTTTTTTTTAATAAAAACCTGATCCAACTTGATTTGTAGTAATAGTAGTAGATGGCCTAAAGGCTCAACCGTATCTAATACTGAAACAGAGCCCAGGGCTACTGTTATGTACTGGGGATGCAGAAGTTTAAATACTGGTACCAGAGTCCCATGTTGGCAATCTTTCCTGGGTACCCCTTTGCTGCTCTTTCCTAAGATATTCTTTATCTTGGGAGTAGGTAGGAGAAATTCCAGATAGTGGAAAATGTAAACCAAAGAAAGTTATCGGTATATGTTGTTGCCATTTTTCCTTTCTTCAGTAGTGGCTAGAGGTTTTCATGATGTTCAAAAAAATTGTATTATTCAAGGCTACATGCTATATAGAGAACATGCTTTTAAAAGTAGCTGATGAGATTTAGTGGATGCTGACCATTTACTGGCAGATGTTCCACTTTAGGATTGAGTACCATTTTCAGTAAGAGACAAGAAAACAGTATTTTCCTTGCTGAGGCTTTTTTGGGAACTAATAAATGTTTCCCGAGTCTGCGTGGTAGTCAGCTGTTGTATTACCTCTTACAGGAAACGAAATCCATGCTTTCCTGCCATGGAAATGCAGTACGTATGGGAGTTGGCCCCAGTACCGTTCTTCACCAGTTAAACAGCCTGTCACTGAGTCCTAGGACAGTCTTGGCACTAGTCTGCAAACAAAATGTTATTCTTTATTTTTACCAAGTAAAAGCCAATGACATCAAGATGTTAAAGCTTTCCTAAGATATTTTTGTTTTATCACGATATTGATGCTCTTGTTGTTATAAGGATATTAAACAATTGCAGAAGTGAAAGCATGAGACCTTTATGTAACCCACTTTTCCTCTCTCCTTCTCCCTTCCTTTCAGTGTGAAGTTTTTACATAAAATCGATGTGCTTTTTATGTTTGAAGTGTTTGGGATCTTTTTTTAGGCGGTCTGTTCTTGAGTGGCAAGAACTCAGTGTCTTTTAAGTTATTTTAGGAAGCAGAGATCCTGCGTTTTGTGGAGATTGTCACGTGTTAGTACTATGAAGCTGGGAATCGTTTCTAAATTTCAAATTGCTCAGCATACAAGAGCACTTTGCTACTACGCTCCCTAAAGCTGAATAGTACTGGAAATCTGGTTTATCTGCAGACGTGATGCAAGGTGTCTGAAAAAGGTGGCAACTGCCACAGCTTCAACGGCCTTGACACTGAGATGTGATAATGTGTTTTTAATTACAGTGCAGCTTATGATGCCATCCTTGAACGAAATGTTGCAATCAAGAAGCTAAGCCGGCCATTTCAGAACCAAACCCACGCTAAAAGAGCCTACAGAGAGCTTGTTCTTATGAAGTGCGTTAATCACAAAAATGTGAGTACAGCATCCAGCTTTAAATGCTAAAGAATTAACTAGAAGGTTATTATTTGTAGAAGTCTTCAAAGTTACTTCAGAGGATGGCATCCTCTGTAGATTATTGAGATTTTAATTGTATGGATGCTATCTCCATGGTAAATACAGAAGGATCTTTCAGAAGAGCCTTTATTGACTAGTTTTAATACCTGCCCAGTCTTTAAATACCCCCTTCAAACTCAAGGAGGGAGTCAGTGTTATATTGCTGCTTTTTACAGGCAGCTGGCAAATAAGAATACCATGAGTGGTAAGTGCCTCCTTGTTTCTGTTGCTGCTGCTAGGCAAAGAGGAGGAAAAAGGCTGTAATATTTTTTTCCCCTGGTCCCTGAATGAGTTAGGAATCTTGTGTTGTGACAACAGGAGCTGTTGGAGGCCTGAGAAGCTGTGGAGTAGACCAGATCACAGAAAGGGACAGATAATAACTTATAAACTTATCAGGATTTAACTATAGAAGACTAATATTGGCCATTTTCTTCCTTCAGAGGCAGCTGTGTGTGGTCTTCCTGACCTTCCTCCTTAATTGCTTTTCAGCAAGATAAAATTCCCCCTGGCTGCTGTGGAAGGAAAGCATAGAAGTATAAAGTATAGAAGACTTACTCTGTCTTCTAGCTACTTGAGAAAATTTTTGGTTTTTAAGAAACAGAGATGGTTTATATGTGTTTTCTTTAAAGGAATTTTTATCTAATATTATAATTTGTATGATGACAAAGTATTGCAAGCCTGCCTGGCTCTTGATGAGTAGTAGCTTGACCTGTTTCCGCACATCCCATCCATTCTTAGCAACTGGAAAATGTCCCAAAGCAGCTCCAAGAATCTGTTTTTTCTCTTTTCATGGAGTTGTTGCTTCAGCTCTGTCAATGGCAAAGCGTTATCTTAGGTAGTCTTTGTCAGTTTTTAATTTTATTTTTCCTCATGCAATAAAAACCTTACCAACTCTCTTCAAACTGAAAGGAGGAGACGGGAGAAGACTGACTAACTTCCCTGGGTTTTAAGCTTTGAATATCATCTTGTTAATGCACACGGTGTGTCTTTTAGATTGTGATTTGCGGAGGAAAATTACTCTTCCTAAAACCATTACCATCTATTACAGCATGTTAGGCCTTGTTGAGCTGCTTAACATCTTGAGCTTCAATGTGTACCAGGGGGTTTGCATCAGAATACTGGGTATCAGCTTTGAAATGTTGACTTTGCAACTTTGCCATGGTGTGATTATACTTCTTCTCAACCTTCCCACAGATAATTGGTCTACTGAATGTGTTCACACCACAGAAATCCCTGGAAGAATTTCAAGACGTGTAAGTCTGATTTGAACTAAAGCTGAGAATTAATTTTAAAAATGTTCAAGCAGAAAGATGAGCAAGGGAAAGAATATGATAAAATGGCAATATTATCTGATTTTCCTTTTTTTTTTGTCTTCATAAGCTACATAGTGATGGAGCTCATGGATGCAAATCTCTGCCAAGTGATTCAAATGGAGCTAGATCATGAACGAATGTCCTATCTTCTTTATCAAATGCTGTGTGGTATCAAACATCTTCATTCAGCTGGAATTATACATAGGGTAAGTGAACTTAACTGTGTGTATTTTGCATGGCACCTGGTTTTGCTTTGAGTATTTAAAAGACAGGAAAAAATCAGAAATAGGAGCACAAAAGATGATCCATATCACGTCCCATAGGCAGGGAGAGAAAGCTGAACGGAAATCATCACACTTGCCTTTTCCCACTGTAATTCTGCAGTGAACCTTTTGAATGCTTGAATGGTTTGATAGTAATCTGTACGAAACAAGTAAAGATTTTTGCAGTGAGTTTCATTACCTCCTTTAATTCTATATAATGTTCTATTTTAGTCGTTATGGCAGGAAAGAATATGGCAGGGAAGTTTGTCTGCCTTTATTGTTTTGGTAACCAAACCTAAAACCCTATCTTTTGAAAGAACTGCCCACTTTATTTCTGCTCTTTTACTACCAGAGTAGTGAATAAATATCTGAAGTTTCCACAAAAAATGATGATGAAGAAGACCTGTAAGTGGGACTTTCATACACCTGTGTGTCACAAAGCATTCACTCAGACTACCCACAGGCAAAACTGACTGCTGCTTTTTGTATGTCATGTGTTTGTTGCAATCCAGTCAAGAAATTCTGAATTTAAGGTTGCCTGTTCAAGTTGAACGTCTCCTATGTGTCTGTATGGAGTGTAAAATGGCTTGAGATTCTCTGGTTAAAACTTTTCAAATACAATCTCTGCTATTTTGGGAAATTGTAAGCTTGTATTTCTACAGTGCTACATTCTGGAGCGCGTTCAGAGAAGAGCCACAAGGATGGGGAGGGCTCTGGAGAACAAGCCTGATGAGGAGCGGCTGAGGGAACTGGGCTTGTTTAGCCTGGAGAAGAGAAGGCTGAGGGGAGACCTCATCACCACCTACAACTGCCTCAAGGGAGGTTGTAGAGAGGTGGGTGCTGGGCTCTTCTCCCAGGTGATGGGGATAGAACAAGGGGAAACGGCACCAAGCTGTGCCAAGGGAGGTTCAGGTTAGAGATAAGGAGGAAGTTCTTTCCTGAGAGGGTCGTCAGAAGCTGGAACAGGCTGCCCAGGGAGGTGGTGGAGTCACCATCCCTGGATGTATTTAAAGAGCAGGTAGATGTGGTACTTAGGGATATGGTTTAGTGGGTAGACAGGAGCGGTTGGACATGATGATCTCAGAGGGCTTTTCCAACCGAGCGATTCTGTGATTTTTCATTGTGATTTTTTTAGAGTTTAAAAAGTTTTCATTACTTACTTTTGCTCAGCTAGCTTTAGTACTCATCAGCTGCCACGTTTCAGTGAGGAGCTCGGGAAGGGAAGGTGAAGGTGAAGGCTTCGTTCTTGCTTGCAATTCGCCCTGAACTGCTGTATTTGAAAGAGGTGGGTGAGGGAAGGTGAGCAGAAGCATCACCTGCAACCAGGCATAACCCTGTGCCTTTAGATCTGCGTGTGGGCATTGAAATTCTTGCATTATTCTGGGAACGCCAGGCCAAACTCGGATACTTTGCTTACCACAGTTGTGGTATTCTGTTGCACATGACTGGTATTATGCAGGCCTTTGTGCCCTAATGTGTGTGCCTGTGGGGCTGAAATAATGGTTTGTACACAGCTTAACGTTTTCTGGTCTCTTCTGGTAGGTAGGTATGCAGGTTTTTTATTTTTGGAAAACTGCATATCATATGAACATGCTCGAGTAGGTAGTGTAAGAGGGTCTCTTTGTGTACGTCTTGGTTCAAGCAGGAGGGAGCTTCTGAAACTTCACTTGCTTCAAGCGTGGTTTGTACTCTTGTAAAGTGGGCATCAAACCATTGAGCCTGTAGAAGTCACGGATAAATGTAAACATTTGTACCATTATAGAAAAGAAGTAACTACTGAAGTAGTCGTTGGGGAGGAGTAAGGATAGCTTTGAGGGTAGAATTCCTGCTTCTGTAAATACGGGCGCAGTTTTTGAAATGCTTTGTATTGCGCAGTAATAGGAAGCACAGGGATAACCTGTTCCAAAGAGACTATAGATACAATTGGTATGTAAATAGTAACACGTGTATGCATGAATGCTTTTGAAGGACAACGGCAGACACGTTTCGCTTGCATGTCTTCGTGCTAAATTTTCAGCTGACAGCTTGTCAGACTGTGTTAAAAGATTAAGTACGTTCAGGCAAGACGTTTGCATTGGTTACCTGCTGTGTGTGTTACGCCTTCATGCCTTAAGGTGTAAACTATCAAAATCCTGTTTCTGTGTGGAACAAGTTAAACAAAACCTCAAAAGACAAGGAGCACACGCTTGAAAAGGGACATATTTCATATGGACTGTGTGGCTGCAGTAATAACTCTTTATACCGCTCTTCTGGGCTTTCAGCACCACTGTCTTTAATATCTAAAGCTAATCTGGTGAAACGAGTTACTCCTTAAACATAGTCTGTACTACTGTGGCTGCCTGTGAAACATTCTGACTATGAATTTAGCTTTCTTTAGTGTCCTTTAAAGCTTTAGCTTTTTTTAGTGTTGCTACTTTAACATGGTTTTTAACTGGGTTCTTCAGCTTCTAACATAGCGGTGATAATCTCAGCGTCTCAGTAACTTTTTCAAAGTTTGCTGAATGACGGAAATTAGAACGATCTGTGTATGTGCTTATAGCACTGAATACTACTTGCCATAAAAAGAAGTCATTTTTTCATAGCAAACCAGAGGCATAGAAAAAGACAGAGATAAAACTCACTTTCAGACAATTTCACCCTGAAGTTGTAGGGAGTATGCTTAGCTGCCACATCAGCAGATAAAGATTTGATCTTGGTAAAGATTTGACTGTAGCTTTACACTGGCTTTAACAGATGTTGGCAAAAGCATTACTATGTTCAAAACATTTTGCAGAGACAGTTTCCAGCAAGCATGGAAATACACATTCATTTATGTTTCACAATCTGAGGAGGGTGAATGATGGGCATTGCAGTTGTGCCTCACTGACTTGCTGAAGGACACAAAGTGTCTCGTTAGTCTTGCATGGAGGCTCTGAAACAGAGGATTTTGCCTGTGTTCTGCGCTTAACAAAGGTGCCTAATTATGAAAGCCCTTTACACAAATCTTTCTTTGGAAAGAGAAAAGCCCATATAAGTGTGAATTGTCTTCTAGAGATGCCCCTCTCTCCCTGTCTGGTTAATGGGGAGACGGCCGTGAATAAGCTCTAATTTTTACACATTGGCATTTAACGTTTTTAAGGCAAGGTGAGATATCTTCTGCTATAGGTTCGGGATGTATTTATACAACCAGGCTAACTTGGGGGCACTCTTACAGGAACTTTTTGAGTCCTTGTTTAATTAAAACATAAGGGTTATTGATTCTGCATAAGTTTGGATGGCAGTGTAACTCAGCTCTCACCTCCATCATTTTGAAGGACAGTTCTGTGTTCCCAATGACAGCGTATTCTTAGGCTTCATGACAACCACATGATGTTCAGAAATTAAGGATGGACAGTACTCTGTAAGCTTTTGGTTTTTGTTCTCAGAGTGATTTTTCTCTTGCAAAGGGAAGATCTCTTGACATTTTCAGTATTAATCCTGCAGCTTTCAGAAGGATGTGTATAGTTAATACTATGAGCACGCACCTGGGATTCTGCAACGAGCATCCTCCCAATAATAGAAGTGTGCAAAAATAAAGCTGATAATAAACAGGATTGTAGCAGAATCTGAAACAAGCTTGAATGCCTTATAATACTTGGATTTAGTTGTCATGCTTGAGAATGTTTTAAGGAAAAGTTGACTGCAGAGTCTGTGTCTGCGATTTGAAAGTGCATGTGTGAATATGTGTGTGTATGACTTTTAATTGCCCATTAAAATTCTACTGTTCTGGAAGTCTTTTTTTGTGGTTTTATCTCTGTCTTTAAAGCAGCTGTCTTAGCTTTCTAAAGAGTTTGCTGAAAGCTATAGGAGTACAAATGAAAACTACATATATCTTGCAGATAGCCACTTTTAAGTCTTTATGAAACAGTGAAAGATAGAGTTACTTATCAAATGCCTGCAGCTCTGATTCTGGAGCCCTCTGCCACATGCTGGGTTTTTCTCTCGTTAATCTCAGTAGTGTGTAGGCAGAAAGGATCCAAGCCTTGTCTGCGTTGGCCTGTGTGTTATGAATGATTTGATTATGGCAAAGTTATTCTGAAGTTACTCTGGTTTTAGTATTTGCTCTGTGACATTCAGATGTGTGTAAGATCCTCCTGAGATAATGGTTGAAGTCTGTGTATTGTCCATATAAATACGTGTCATAAAGCCACTATTGTCAATGTGGTTTTAGGTTCAAGTGAAGGGAATACAGTTACTAAATTTCTAACTAAGATGATCTGAAGCTGTATCAGAGCATTTTCCACTCCAATATAATGATTATGTTAATTTCTGGCAGTTTTTTCCATGTTGTCCTTTTGGGTTTGGTCACCAAAATCAGTATACAACCAAATCCTAAATGGGAAACTCTATCTGTGTGAGCATGAGGATTTCCTTCCTGTTCAGAGAAACATCTGCTTTGGCTCAAGAGAGGTAATGCAGCCTCAACTAGCAAAGAAACCTTTCACTTTTTACATTCACATTATAATTTTAATAATCCTTGTATCAAGACGATTATTGCACCAAATTATTTCAGCAGTTGTCATGTTACTTGTGTTTGTAGTAATAACCATTGTGCCAGTGAGCAGTTTCTAGACCTTTCCTCAGAGCTAACATTTCTTACTAACCTCAGTTTATTTCAGACGTTGCTAACGTATCTTATAATGCTAGTTGTATTTTCCTTCTTTCATTGCTATGTAAATCTACAAGCACAATAAAGGAATTGGTTCTGTAGTCTGCTGAATGCCAATGAATTAACGCAAGGGGAAAAGAAACTGCAGTTACAGCAGTAACCTAGTTGTGTATTGGGTTTAATGTTAGCAGAATTATCTTTTAACAATGTGAACCACAGAGTACTTTGTGCTTGTCTTAGCAGTCATATATGATGTTTCTTTTTAAAGGATTTAAAGCCCAGTAATATAGTAGTAAAGTCAGACTGCACTTTGAAGATTCTTGACTTTGGACTGGCCAGAACTGCAGGAACTAGTTTTATGATGACGCCTTATGTAGTGACTCGTTACTACAGAGCACCAGAGGTCATCCTAGGGATGGGATACAAAGAAAACGGTCAGCAAATATAGTCTTTCTTTGGCATAGCTTTATTTTTTGTTTGGCGCACCACATTTTACATGTTACTGTTTTGGTTTGTTTTTTTTTTT